GGTAAGCGCGCGTGGAAAAATGGCCGCATTTCCGGTGACGGACACTGACCAGTGGTCAGCCAGCAAATAGCAATTCCCAGACGAGGCGCGAGGCGAGTGACCGCCAGTGGAGTCGTCCTCGACAGCTGTGCTTGCAGTTAATTGGGCATCACGTCGAAAGATACCAGTTTCATTGGCAAACTGGTAGCAAACAAACACTCAACTTGCGCTGGTTTCTTGCTTGGCGAAGACGACCTACCACTGGGGCTTTTAGGTCGCCACCGACTTCGTGTCCAGAGACCAGTTTGTCACAATCAACCATCAAGACACAGATCCGATCGGAAATGAACCTCAAATTCGACTCCTGTTCGAGACGTCCAAGCCATCAATCATAATGGATATTTTCAGGTAATTTTCAACTTTCCTCGTGTTCACTGAGCGATTCTAAACTAGAACCTATATGTGAAAGGAGCACAAGCCGAAAACGTGACACAATCGCCATTTGCCTATAGACTCGTATATTCTCATATGAGCTTGTGCATGTCAGTGACTCTGATAGTACTGCCGGCTGAAATATCGAAACTAGTTCTCAGTAGGATTTTGTGTTTCAGACTGGATAAAAGCTAGGGACTAGATTAAGGGAATGATATCTGACTGCGTTACGAGATCAACTACATATTGTCATAGTAATTTATTCATCTCACATGTAAACAAAGAGTTTTTAGCTGGGAGTTGCATTTGAAAAGGCGACTTTAGTCTCTTCATGCAGTGTTTAGAAGGCAGGCAACTTAGGCAGTTACACAGCCCAGATAATGCACCTACATATCCGTTTACAGTTATCGCCACGACAGTACATTGTTAGAAAAGAACTCCAGCGAGCTCTGGATGGAAGCGACAAAGATAGGAGAGCAGCATTCTTGAAATCTGCAATGTCTGCTCTTTGAGTACAAAGAAGAACGATCTGATCGAAGATACAGAAACCTCTCAACTGGATGTAGCTTAATTCCTGTTTGCCAAGCACTGCATTTCCAAGGTTTTTGATATTGACAGTGGATAGGAGTTTTCCTGCTTGAGAGCTGATTCAATCATATGAGCAGATTTGTCGGCAAAGTACTCGCCAACACTCGATTGACAAACTGCTAAGCAGAATTTTCGCAATAAATCCCAGAGCAAACTCTAAGGTTGGCTCCAGGGCAAATGTATGCAACTCAATATAATGTCATACTATGAATCATTCCTGAAGCAAGTGGATGAGTCTCGGGAAGGAGGGCTTATAGAGAATGCATTCTTCTGACAGTAATTTAAATCTACCTCTCAGCATGAATGAAAAAATATGGAATCATGTGACCAAAAAAGCGGAAATTCAATAGTAATTCAAAAAGATGCCATGTATTAAGACTTTTGCACTGTGGTCTATCCGTAGTATTATCTTTTGCCAATGCCGTGATGTCTTCGAGTACGTCTGATACTTTTTTCTATGATATCATGTCTTTTATCAGTATGTCTGAACTGATTAGGTTATGCTTTAGTTTCTGAAAAACATCAGTTCACCAACGGGTTGATTATTCCAGAAGATTTGTAGAAACTATCTTTGACGCAACATTCTGAAAGCTCCCATACCTTGCGTTATGTGTTTTCTGAACAGTTAGTTTCTATATTCACTGTTGGTGATAAACAGCTGAAAGATTCCGGAAGGTTCAGGATTTCCTACAAATGGCAACAGGCGCGATACTGGTCACTCTTATCATCCAAGTTTTGCTATTCATAAACTTTGGCGAATCGTACTTTTGCTATGACCAGTTTTTACCAGGGAAACCAAGGTATGCAGAACATGTCCGATTGCATATTATGCTATATTAACTATATCATGCACTATATTAATCCGCATTTGAACCTTGTTTCTGGCAACAATCATACCTTTCCCCAGTACAAGATTCAACGGGTTAGGTTAAACATTTAATCTTTTTTGGATAGGAAGTAGACTGTAACATTTGGAGGTATTTTGCCCGATTGAATTCAGAAAAAATTCTCTTTGCCGCTTATGCCATTGAGCAAAGAATTCGCCAGACGTTGATTCGAGGTAGCATGTTGCGAATAACCAGAAAAAATGGGAGGACGAATGAATTGGCAAAAAGTGACCACGAGTGAGGGTCTGCAATATCCTTGTAAGGTCAGTGTAACTGATGACTATCCCTGCATATTTTGCAACCCTCTCTGACAACGTGGATGTTTTATGCACAAATGAATCAGAAAATGCAAAGATCAGTGGCCCTCGATTCAACGTGTTAATGGATTAAATTCGTGACTCAAAAAATCTGACTTTTATGATCATCGAGAAAATGGTGCAAAGTCATTGAGCAGAGGAGGTGATCCATCATTCAGCCACAGTTTATCATCTTTAAAAGCATGTAATGCACTTTGCTTTGTACTCAAATTTGGCGGTAGGTCACTTCACAAATCTGGCATCTGTGTCAAACTCGTGGAGAGCAGACTTCCACAACGGTAAGAATTCACATATCAGGACAAAGCACAGCTGAATGCAATCTTTTACTGTTGTAAAAACCTGATCTCAAGATGGTATTCTACTGACGAACAGAACTTTAGGCGCACTTCCAGAAGGTCTTCGTGCGGGGTACAATGACCTCTTCATTAACGGCCAAAAATCAACTTCATGAGAAATCCATCCAGCGTCGCATAATGGTAGAGGACTTTGATCATTTTCAGTGTTGCGGCTCCGTCATCTCCAACGGTGGTACTGTATAATCAAAATTTAATAGAAAAGCCGCTCTTGTTTCCAGTGCTCGTGGTCACTTGTTTAATATTTGGTCAGATTAAAATCTTCCGTCTGTCTTTCCCACAAAATCGTCTGTATCTTGCTTTTCACTGGTCGGGGTTGCTGCCTGGCTTGGAAATGGTTGTCTATCGACGGACTAAGAGTGACGGCTTCCACACAAAATGAAGGTTACATTGAAAAAGCAAACAAGCGGTAATGAACACAGGAACAAGATGGGCATTAATCTGAGGGCAATTCTCGCTGACTCCTTCTTTCCATTTGCCAATCATCTCACTAGCGCAGTGACTAAGCTCGATGCCAAGAGAAAATTAATCATAGATTCCTCAGTCTAGTTCCCCTTTCCGGTACAAAGTTTTCGTGAATGTATTCGAATCTGTGATGTCCGACGGTTGAAAAGGTATTTATTTCAGAATAATAACAGGAATTGCCCTCAAATTAACGCTTATTTTGTTTTCACGAAATTCGCACGTGTGACATTCTTGGTTGTAATTTATATGCCTAATTGGCTCTACTAAGAAGGTCAGTAAATTACACAGGTAGAGTTTCTTCTGCGCAGTCATAAAATTATCATCACATTTCGTTCGCCGCGTTGCTGTCATGGTTGTTTATACCTGTGACCTCATAACTGAGTCATTTCGACCAAGGCATGCAGTATATGAACCTTATCAGCACCTTTGTGTTATCTGATACACGCAGTTATTGCTCTTTTGCCATCATGCTCTACAGAATTCTCCGCATGCGAAATAAGGGCTCATGAGAGATTCGCAACAGGTATAAAAATACGTAATCTTGAGGAAGCTTCTGAGTGTAATTTTTGCCTTTAGACCACGTTATTTTGCTGAGCTGTAGCTCTGAGGCAAAGTGTTAACAGTGAAATGTGACGTTATGAATCGCAACAATTTTGATAGAGAAAAACTTTTATATGACAGGCTTAAAATGTCATTGTTGTCATCTTTCATCAACCTGATATTTTTATATTCTCTTTCCTGATGATTGCTTCCATCATTTTATGCTAATTAGTGGCAAGAAAAGTAAATGTGATTGGTATGCCTTGCAATATGTGAGCGATAGTCAATTAGGCATCAGGACATAGCCGTGATGCTTCATTTAATAATGTCCTCTGAACGGTAGAGAGTTGTGATTTTAGACACGTTCCACTGCATTCATGAAGGAGATATCCAAGAATATAGAACGACTGCAAATCTGCCTACAGTACTTTCAGTGTTGGGGTCCGAAAGGACGCTGCCCGTGATTTGGATCCAGTAGAAGGATTCTTTGAGCGACTGATATTTTGACCTTGTTCTTGCAAAGTCATGACATTCACTATTTTTTGGAGCGATGAAGACACTACCCACAATTCCATTATGGCTAATATTTCTTGGTTTGTTACTCGGTGGAACCAACGAACTTTGAAAAAGTTTACAGGTTCTCATGCTTTCAGTAAGGCAGCCATTTCTAAGCCGTAAAACGAAACCGATGGACCTCGCGCATTGTAGAATGGTACCCGAGGGAAAGAAAACGACCACTCGGAAGACCTCCGATGAGGTGGCGGACGTACGTGGAGGAAACAGCAGCAAAGAACTGGATACAAACCGCCAAGGACAAAACGGTTTGGCATGATGGCGATCGGCGTGTGGGAACTATGAAGAATCCACATTGAAAGCCCGAGCAATCTTTGAATCTTTGAAAACGAAATCGGAATGACGGACGACATGAAGATCTTCATACTCTTCCGATCAGCCCGTTCGTAGGCTTCCAAAACGCGGCCGTTGCCAAATATTTCTTCTGTTTAACTCCATGTCCAGCGACCTTCGTTCGTGGCCATAGAGCCAAGATAATTGTAGTGGTCAATTTCTCCCAATCTTTCTCCATGCGAAGAGAGATGAGTTTGCTCTGCATCTTCTAACGTC